CCGCCTGGACAAGGTCCTGTGCAGCCTGCTGTAGGTGACCCTGCTTCGGCAGGGGGTTGGACTAGGTGACCCACAGAGGTCCCTTCCAACCCCTACTACCCTGTGATTCTGCGATTCTGAGATGTGGTGCTTAGGGACGTGGTTTAGTGGGGGACTTGGCAGTGTTAATGGTAGGACTCAATGATCTGGAAGGTCTTTTCCAACCTCAATGATTCTGTGATTCTATCATTGTGTGATTCTAAACAACACATGGGCCTCACCTCCTGTGCCTTGTGGGCCTGGATGGCTTCCTCCCACTCCTTCCTGTTGTTGTCCAGCAGCTCTCGCCGTTCCAGCTCAAAAGCTTTCTGTGAAGGAGAAGGAGCCCTTCGCCATCATGCTGGCACCACTCGTTGCCAACCTTACACCAGGCCAGGCCAGCAGCCTCCCGCAGAGGACCAGCTGCAGACCGGTGCCGCTGTCGACGAACACGCACTGCCCTGATCTCTCCTCTCCACGCCAGGACCCTGCTGGCAGAGACCTCACACTGTGAGCCCTGGGGACTGCTGCTGTCACCCCCCCAGAGCTGGGAGGGATGCTCCTGGTGGTGGGCAGCTCGCTGGAAGTCATCGCTTGATGATTAGCAGTGGAGCTTGGTCAGCCAGCCACCCGGTTTCGCCTTACAAGACGTTCAGCGGGGAGAGATGCCCTCGCTCAGCACCAAACGCAGGTTTGGGCTGCGAGGTGGGACGCTGTGCTCTGCAGAAGCCAAGGTGAAAGAACTGAAATGGTCCTTTCAGAGATGCCCTCGCTCAGCACCAAACGCAGGTTTGGGCTGCGAGGTGGGACGCTGTGCTCTGCAGAAGCCAAGGTGAAAGAACTGAAATGGTCCTTTCTGGCTTTTAGAGACATCAGTCATCAGCCACGAAGCGGCGACAGCTTTCACGTGGCACCAAGCTGCTCTGCACGGAACCCCAGCCCTTCACAGCACGGTAGAAACCAGCCCCTCGGCACTCAGCACCATTCAGTGCTCTTGCTTGGCTGGGTTTCACCCTCATTCACCAAGACATCAGCTCTGCTGCTCTGGACAGTAGACAGCCCAGCCAGTGCAGGGAGCCTGAGGCCTTTTTGCCACGGACATGCAGAAGAAAGTGCCTGCAGGTCTTCTCATTGGACTTTTCCTCCACCATATGACCTGGCTACCTCAATCCGCAGGAGCTTGCGACGGTAACTTTTCAGCATGAGCCTGGTCTGTGCCTCCATTCTCTCCAAAAGCAGGTGGATATCATCCGACTGCTTCTTAATGGCCTGCACGTACTCTTCATCTTTGTTTTTCAGCTCCTGCAGGAGGAGAGCAGATGCTGAAATCACAGAGAAGTATTTGACCAGGCATCCTCAGGGGCTAACTGAGGGGGTCAGACCCAGGTGCTCCCTTTCCCAAAGGAGCAGAGGTGATGAGAGCAAAGAGCCAGAAAGTCAAGAGGTAGCCAGGAGGAAAGATGGGAGGGGAGACAGATCATGGCTACCCAAAGGTCCAGGTGAGATGGGGGGGAGGTGACCTGCCTGCAGACACATCACTCCTCCTCTGGGGCCAGGGAACCTGCTGTGGGGCAGGCTTGCTTCCCAGACACAAAAACACTCCCCCTCTCTGCTCCTTTGCCTTTTTTTTACTGTGCAGTCTGGGACCTGCCAGGTTGTCTTGCTGCTGCCAGTGTCCTGTGGGCCTGTCCTTGTACACCCAACTGTGCCAGGGCACCCGATCCCACCGTCCACACTGGGACACCGGCACTGCAGCTCCTGGCACGGTGCTGACCCAGACTGACCCTACGTGGATCCCTGCAAGGCACTGGTGAGCTGAAGATCCAGACAGAGGGATGACTCAAGAGACAGACAGGGATGACGTTGCTTTACAACAGCACCCTCCAGAGCTTGAAACCCCCGATCCTTCCCGTCTGTCCCTGCCTGTCCCCCACGCTACCTGCTGCAGATCACCGATGACCTTGTTCTTCTCCTCCAGAAGCAGCGCGCACTGCTGCTGCTGTTGCTTCAGCAGCTGCCACAGCTCCTGCGGCATGGTCGTCTCCTTGGCCAAGGCCCACTTGGAGGTGATCTCCTCAAACTTGCGTGCGCTTGACTTGGCTTCGTTCTCCAGCTTCTCCACCCTGCAGGCAGCCAGGAGCACAGGGCAAACAGGGAGCTGGGGCAGGGCAGCAGAGGCCAGCGGAGGGCTGGAGCTCGCAGGGGTAGAAACGCCCCGGGATTGCTTTGCTCTGGGTCCCTCTCCTGAAGAGGCACCCGGTCCAGACCGTTTCTTTTCTCTACCTTTCAATCTATTTCTTTAATTACTTTATAAGCACGGACACCTGAGACCACGCTATGGGAAACCTGGGGTCACGAACGTGCCTTCAACAGAGCTCAGTCACCTTTGCAAGGAGCACCGGTCCTTCTGCCAAGCCAGCTGTCTCTGGGCAAGAGGTGACGGACGAGCAGTGCTGAACAGCCTCCCAGCTACGTCTGGACTTGGGAGTCAAAGTGCCCAGGGACCCCCCTCCAGCTAAAGCCAAACGGCACCCAACAGCCCACGTCCGTGTCAGCAAAACTCTTTCCTCTTCCAAACAGAGGCACCAGCCAACGTGCTCTGGCGACGGCCCAAGGGTCAGGCTGAACAGCAGCCAACTTGCCACCCCCAAACCTGCTCCACGGGCTGTTCCTGGACACAGCTCCTCGTTGGTCCCTTCATAAGATTCCCACCGGGAATCCACGGAGCAAAGCACACGCATCCTGCTACAGCCAGCCTCCCAGAAACTCTTCCTGCAGTGCCCTCCAAAGGCTGTAGGAGCCAGGACTCGGTGTTTCCTCGCCCATCTCCCAGTCTTGGGGACAGCACGGAAAGAGCCTGTCCCTTGGACACTGCCCAGCTCCTCTGGGGAAGCAGGACAGGTTTGCCCAGCAAGGCACACAGAGACGATCAGAGAATCAGCGCGGCTGGCAGGGCTTCGGGAAATGCTCCGCTCCTGGTCAGAGCAGGGTTTACTGGCTGGAAGGGCTTCGGGAAATGCTCAGCTCCTGGTCAGAGCAGGATTAACTTCAGTGTCAGAGCAGGCTGTGCAGGACCTTCTCCAGGCATGTGCTGAGCATCTCCAAGGAGGAATATCCCCCTGGCCTCGGACCCAGCATCTGGCCACCCTCACTGCACAGACCTTCATATCCACGTTCTCAAATGAGCACAGCCTCCTGTGCTTCCCACTCCTCACACACGGCCTGACCCGGCTGTCCCAGCGCCTTCCCGGGGTGTTGCTAATAACTACCCCAGGCTCCATGACTGCAGGGCAACCTCTGGAAACAGGACCTTTACTGAGCCACCTCCTAGCACAGGGTGGCACCTTCTCCGCCATGGGGTCACCTCCAGCTCAGGAGAGCTGCTGGGCTGGCCAGAAGCAAGGCCAGCTGTGCCTGTGCTTCTCAAGCACAGAGACCACAAGTCTACGTGCTACAGACTCCTGGTGCAGAGCTGAGAACCAGCTGCGTTTCTCACGCTCTGCAGCTGAAGATGTGATGGGTCTGGAGGAGATTGGTAACTGGACATCCACAGCACTGCAGTACCACCTGGGGAAGCCACCAGCCTTGATCTGCAGAGCTCTGTAAAGATCCAGTTGGGGCAGGTGGGACCTGGAGGATCTTTGTGTGCCTAAATCACCTCTCTTACCTCTGCAGCTTCAGCTTTGCCTCCTCTGCCCTCCTCTGCGTCTCCCTCAGGTCAGCAGCCATCTGGATATTTGTCACCAGCTGCGTGCCTTCGAAGAGCAGCTTGGCCAGCCTCTGTGAAGCAGGTGGGAGACATCTCACATCCAGAGACCCAAGCTCTGGAGGAAGGGATACTGGAGCAACTCTCGCTACTCCCGTGCAGGGCCTGGCTCCTGTCCCCATGCTGAGGTGCCTGTGTGGACCCATAAACCCCGGCTTCCCACGCTGTGGCAGGGTTTGATGAGCACTGCGAGGACTTCCATGCACTCACGGGTCCTCCTGCTCCTGGAAAGCCCTGCAGGCCATCAGCACCAAGAGGAATGAGCTCAGAGAACGTTCTTGCTGTGCTTCCCCTGCGTGTGCGGATGGGGCTGGGCATGGCAGGGTGTGGGTCTGGGTGCCCGGTGTTGGTCCCAGACCCTTCCCATCCCTGGGCTGTCTGTCGCAGAGAACTCCTGTCCCCAGGACCCAGCCCAAGAATCACCCCCACCCAGCCCGCAGGAGTTGCTGTTCCTGTCTCTTCTCGCAGAAACGCTGCTGGGGGACACTAAGCACCGCACAAAGCTAAAAGGAGGGTAAAGCCCAAATGTCTCGAGGTCAGGGACCCCAGTGGACCTTCCTGTCCTGCTGCCACACCTGACTGCTCTCCTCGATCTGCTTATAGCTGCTTCTCTGCTCTTCCTCCTCCTCCTCAGCCACCTTCGGCTCCGCATCTTCTTCACGGGCCTCCCTGGGCAGGAAAGGAGCAAAGACAGAACGTTTTGCACCACCCCATCTTCCGAGTGCTCGCAGATGGCTCGGGGTCTGGGGTCTCTCTCCCCTTGGCAGGTTTAGTCCCAGGCCAGGTCAGCCCAGATGCAGAAAGGAGGCGGCAAAGGCTGGGACAACCTCGCTGGGGTCATTTTGTCCGGGCGGGCAGAGGGTCCCTGGCAGGGCAATGCCTTGGGCATGGGGGTCTCTCTGCCCCAGTGCTGGGGACAGGACGGACACGTCCGTGACTCTGGCTGTGCCAGGACCGGGAGGGGTGGGCGCTGAGCCCGTGCCGGTCGGCAGGGAGCGGGGGCTGTCTCTGACCGGGTCAGGATTCAGGACGGGCCCTGAGCCAAGG